TCATAATACAATGTATTATTTGTAAACGGGGTTTATAATGAGAAAAAATAATTTACTAATTAAATGGTCATCCCAGGCTTTATTTCAATAAAATTTAAACGCAGTTTGCACAATCATTTCAAAATAAATTTAAATTAGTAAATATTATTCCATTAATCGGGGTTATACTGAGGAAAAATAATTTACCTTTTACATGACCTTTTGTAATGGTCATTCTGGGCTTAATTTCAATAAATTTTATACTTAACCTGCACATTTATTTTAAAGTCATTTATAGTCATAAAAGTATATAAAAGAGATAGAGAAAGGCATTAGTTGACCATTACTCCGCAGGATACAGTTGTGTTGAAAATGTTCGCAAAAGGACTTCTTATTGGCTTGTTGATTGCTGTTGTAAGCGAGGTGACAGCAGCACCAAGTGGTTTGTATTTTAAAAACAATTCTGCTTTTAAAATCTGATACCTCTAAACTGCCGTCATAAGAAATATCAGACCAAAAATTTGCAATTCTATTCACAAAGAATGCTTCGACAATTTTTTTTCTAACATTTTGGGCTAGAAAATGGACTAACTCGTCTTTTTAAAAAAATCTAGAAGATAACTTCGTTTGACATTAAAAGCAAAACGATCTACTTATTTATGTCTCTGTGTTTAACTCCAACGATTAAAAGTCTGTTGTTTGTATTTGTTTTTTTAAGTTGATTCAAATGATGTACTAGAACTCTAAACACACTTCAGACACTAGTCTAAATTTTTTTTTTCAAAGAGCGTTATTTTAGCTCTACTGGTCAGTGTTATGCGTTTGTCCATCTGCCAAAGGCTCAATTGAGCTTTTCTATCAAAATTTGTCTGTTGTCTTGTCGTTTTTTTTTAAAGTTGTAAACTTTTCACATTTTCATCTTCTTCTCAAGAACCACTTGGCTAATTTCAATCAAACTTGCCACAAAGTATCTTGGGTGAAGGGGATTCAAGTTTGTTCAAATGAAAGGCCTCGCCCTCTTCCAAGGGGAGATAATTATGAATTAGTGGTAAATTAATGATATCTTTTTTAAAATCTTCTTCTCAATAACCAGTGGGTCAGAAAATGAAACTCATGTGGAAGTATTTTCATGAAGTGTAGATTCAATTTTGTTCAAATGATGACCCCAAGGGGTAGGGTGGGGCCACAATGGGGTTTCATAATTTAACCTAGGAATGAATTGGAAAAATCTTTTTCTCAGGAACCAGTTTCAATATGATCCTCTGGTAGTGAAGATTCAAGTCTGTTCAAATAATGACCCTGGGTTTTGGATGGGGCCACGATGGGGTATGAAAGTTTAACATAGGAATACATAGGAAAAATTTCTTTTTAAATCTTTTTCTCAAAGACAGCAAAGATGCCATTGGTCATACTTATATGATAGCATCCTCTGAAAGTGTAGATTCAAGTTTGTTCAAATATTGACTCTTGGGGTTGGGGCAAAAAGGGGGATCAAAGTTTAACAATAGGAACACATGGGAAAAATCTTTAAAAACCTTCTCAAGAAAAGCAAAACCATGATTGATCAAAGTTATATGGAAGCATCCTCTGGTAGTTGGAAGCATCCTCTGGTAGTGAAGATTCAAGTTTGTTCAAATCATGACTCCTAGGGCAAGGGTGGGGTCATTAGGGGTGATCAAAGTAAGATTCTTCTTGAGAACAGCAAAGTGATTGATCATAGTTATACGGAAGCTTTCTTGGGTAGTGTAGATTCAGGTATGTTCAAATCATGACCCTCTAGGTAGAGTGGGGCCAAATGGGGGTATCAGAGTTTTACATAGGAATACATGAAAATTTGTTAAAATTATTACAAAGCCATGGTTGATCATCAATTTAAAAGCACCATTAAAGTGGATCATAATAATGAAGAACAAAGCTATGATGTGTCATGTTCAAAAACATTCTTAGAAAGTGTAGATTTAAGTTTGTCCCTTTCGAACCCACTTTTATATATGAATTAAAATGTCTCAATACTGAACTGATTTATGCTTTTACCTAGTTAGTTGCTCAGGTAAGCGATGTGGCCCCTGTGCCTCCTACAGTTTTGATCTGATTTCAATATAACTCTGCACACAAGTAGACTATACTTAGATACATGATTCTATATGTATATCGGTTTTTGATTACGATGAACGATGTTGCAATGGCTACTAAAAATAGAAATTTCTGTGAAATACTTTTAAAATGCTACTCTTCCTACAGTTTTGGTCTGATTCCAATATTACTTGGCATACAAGTAGACAACACTAAGACATACATAAATCTATATTTCGGTTTTTGATTTTGATGAACAGTGTTTTTGTTGTTTTGAATCTTTACATTGATTAAAAATTAAGAAATATACTGTAAATTAATTTTTAAAAGAATTTGCAAATAAGGGCAGATCACTCCAATTACAGAAAAATAAGCATAGAATAGCATGGAATAAGAATTCTTTAGTGTGCAGTGTAGAGAGGGTTCTTAAAGGGCTAGTACTCCTACAGTTCTAGTCTTATTACGGACTGGTTTGTCTGTCTGATATACGTGTTCATATAATATAGACAGGAAATGACAGTATAATCTTACTGCATTCTTGCCACAAAAAGAAATTTTTTAAATATTACTGTTGCAAAGTTTCAAACCCAAGTGCTACTTTTCCTTTGTTATAAGTACAAACCTATAGAGCTACAGTCTCCACAGATACTTCTGGTTTCAGGGTGTGTTGCTACAAGTCTTAACTGTTTATTTTAGGTTGCGCTCGACTGGCGATTCCCTGCGAATCAATAGTACTGGAATTAATGCCATTTACAGGAAGTCTCTCACGTGGCGACATGTCTGAAATGCCACAAATTTGCAGGTAAAGTACACATTTGTAGAAATGTCGTAGTGGGCATCTTAGTACTTATAAGGATATGGACTTCATGCATGACTCGCGATGCAACATAATTACTATTATTAATATTTTCTTTATAAAAAGAATTACCCAACCCTACCATTTTTTCTGTAAGTAAACTTTTGAGCAGTTTCATGATACAAGACAATGTCCATTTAGTAAGTAGATCTTGATTTACTCTTAACAGAATCGCCAGAAGGGCACAGACTTGCTTTAGGTCCATAGCCTCCTCGTGTTCCTCCGACAGAAGTTACATAAATCAGACCAAATCTATACAAGTCATCTTAATGCAGTGCAGTATCCGAGGCAACAAAAAATAAGGTAAAACAATGGAATGCACTCTGCCATGTTTTCTTATTGCATGACATACTAGTAATCAAAAATAAATGGTTAATTTCATCTATATTTTTTTTTTCAGACGAATCAGACTTTAGACCATTCTCAAAGACGACGTGTTGCACTGTCAAATAAAAAAAATGTGAATAAATATTGTTGAAATAGAAGTTCATTTTTTTAAAAATATTTTGAAGGGCATACAAGAATGCGAGTAAATAAAATACCGGTATATAGAGATAATGAACAGTATTCAGGCTCAAAGCCCATTAAACATTACAAAATAGGAGCAGGAAAACACAGACCACGAAAACATCAGGGGTGGGATCAGGGGCCCGTTTTATAAAAGGACTTATGACTTAAGACCAAATTTAATTCTTCATTTAAATTTTTAATAAACATTATATAGAAAATTATTTTAAACTTTTTAAAAGAAATTGGTAAACAAAGTTTTACAATCATCTAAGTTTTGGGTCTTAGTCGTAAGTTCTTTTGTAAAATGGGCCCCTGGTACCATGGAGGAGTGAGCATCCCCTGCCGACCGGTCACACTCGCTGTGTGCTCCTTGTCATGCTCAGGAAACAAAGGTAGAATCTGTTGACAATTCAGTGTGTAAAGAATGGCCTAACGATCAGTATGAAGAACGTTAGTCAGTATTTGACTCAATGATAAAGTGTATTTGCTGAGGTCACTGTATCGACCATAGAACTTACAAATTGATGATTTTAAACGAGGCTGCTGATATTCTTGTTTCATCAACTTGTGTAAATTGCCAATAACTTACCTTGTTTAGAAATTTATACGTAGGGCATATAGTCAAAAATTCAAGAATCTTTTATGTAACAGCCTTTAATTTCAAAGCAAATAAAGTTTTTCCCTCCTCACAATTTTAATGGTTCAAAGTACAAAATCTGCATTTATTTTCATTTATTCTAGTTTAAATTTACCAAAAATTCCTAGATCGCCATAGTATTTTTAAAAGACGTGAGACATAAATAAATAGAAGTGTATGTCAACAAAAATACTAGATTATTTTAAAATAGTAAATGTTAATATTATGTAAAAACTGGTTCAAATGCATAATTCTGATACTAAGAGTTCCAAAGTACTTGCTACTTATAAGATAATTTAGAAATATGAATATCAGGGAAACTATTTTATATTAAAAGTATCTGAGAAGGAGTTATTGCCCTTGTCACAATTTTTCAAAGATTGAATACATTTTTTAAGTTCTATTACTTAACAATATTTATCATTACACCTATTGAAAAGCATTCTTTCAAAAAAATTGTTCTATTGGGTATGAGTTTAAATTAAGTTAATAACAATTTTTGCAAAAGCCTATGACATCATGGGAGGATGGAAATTGAATTATTATGAAGGTATGTCCAAAGGAAGTTTTTACTTTGATGTTACATAAGAAAAACATATTTGATTCAGTAAAAAAAAATTATTCCTTATGTATAAAGAGTTTTATGGGTAGTATGTTGCACTCTTTTAATCGCAACTTATTGTACTTAAACTTGTGCATTGTACATGTACTTTGTACATGAACTTTGAATGAAAAAGGGGGGGGGCTCGCAAAATTGTATTGCTTTTTCCTTTTGAGTTTAAAAAACTAATTCACCAACCATAATGAAATTCCTTATTTACCAACGGGATCAATTTAAATTAGCCTTAAACATGAATTATATTTTTTGGAGAGTCGGTTGAATATAAAATATCTTTTTTCTTACACATCGATAGGAAGTGAATCTAGCTATTTTGCTCGCGCAAGAACATTGATTTTCAATAACGAAACTAGTTCCGTTTTAGAATACTAAAAAGATAAACTTAGTCCACTTTAAATAGACCAGGAAGTGTATCGTATGTAGCCGAGCGTAAACAAAGATCTGTGATCGTCTGATTGGAATTAACTGAGAAGGTAAGGGGGCTAGCGGTCTTACCACAGTTTGCTTTCTAGGGTTTTTGTCAGAATAAAAGAAAATGAACTCTGAAAATGAATGTGGGATTTTGGTAGGTTAGAGCGATATTTCATTAATTACAATTCGGAATAAATTAAGACGTATTTGGTATTATGACCTACTTCTTGTAATGTTGACATTGCCATGTGTTAATACAAAATTGTACACGATAGAACAAACCATTGACATGCATAAAATATTAAAAGGTAAAAAAAAATTAGAAGTCTATATATAGGGTCTAATCAGCCTCCAATTCCTTGCATGTAATGGTTATGTGTCAAGTTGTGGTGAGAAAAAAAGGGGAGGGGGGTTATTTGGCAAGGAAGAAAATAAATGTTTAAAGAATGCATTGCCAAAATTTAAAAATCTATTTTGAGGGAGGGGGTGGGGGGTTAAAGTGACATTTAACTTAATAAAACCTATCTTGTGGAAAAAGGATAAAATTAAGTATACTGAAACTATAACAGAGAATGAAAAAACAACCAGTCTTTAATTGAAAATACTTTTATAAATTGCAGTCTTCATTGGGAGTTGACTTAACATGTTCAAGACTTTTAAAAATTAAGTATAAAAATGGTTGCATGTTATCAAAAATAAACATTATTTACAGTATTTTTTTATATATATTTATAAATACTGAATGGTCAAAAATGCATAGGGGGTATATTGCCTTTAAAATCTATTTGTCAGCCCCTGAGACTTTTAAAAATTAAGTATAAAAATGGTTGCATGTTTAGGGACATTATTTACCTGAATGGTCTGCATGGGTATATTGATCCACTCATAGCATACCTTAATTCCCCAGATTTTTTTTTGTTTTGTTTTTTTTGAATTTCACATAAGATTTAAATGCTCCCCTAATCAGAGAATTATTTAAATGTCCACTTATAATAAAGCAAAAGATAAAGAAAATACCTGAATACAGAGGAGTTATTTCCTTGGTAACATTGTAAAATATTGAATAATTGATTATATAAAGAAAATATACATTTTAATCATTCTTTTACTTAACAATTATTTGCATTATGCCTTTTGAAAAGCATTCATCCAAAAGATATTTTTCTAATGGGTATGAATTTCGATTAATAATAATTTTGCAAAGACCTGTGACATCACAGGAGGGTGGAAATGCCTTAATTAACTCTGGCATGCACATTCTGACTTTAAATAACCATTTCCAACAGTCACTTAGTTCTTTGAGAATGGCTTCAACAAGTATAATGGTGACTTACCAGCCATTTACAGTGTTTAAAATTGACAATTTCAAACACTACTCACCCTTTCTAATGCTGTACATTTTTCATCATGTCAGTTGTAAGTTAAAGAATGGCTATGTAGATTTGTGTTTTGTATTTTTCTAGCATTACAATGTAGGATACTCAAGAATTGATGTAATGGCACAGACCAGTACTGGAACATCTGCGTCACGTATCAGCGAGGCATTCAGCTTCCTCAAGGAATACCAGCTAGGAACGGCCTTTGAAGATACCAAACCTGATAAGAATTGCTACAGTGGTCATAATGGTTTGGTTAATGGAGAAAAGGAGGAGTTTACCATCGTCACCTATGTAGATAACAAAGGTACCACAGAAAAGTCTCTCAACAAATCCAAAAATTCAGAAAATTGGAAAAAGGAGGCTAGATCAGTTTTGGGAAATGGTGCTAACAAATTAAGTAATCACATCACTGCAGCTGGTTTGAACCATGAACGTAATGTACCCTCAGCAAGAAGTTTGGTCAAGGACTCTTCTGAGGGGGGAAAGACGAAGTTACATGCTGAAGAGACTAGTCAGAAATCAAGTGCTCAACAGAGGTCTGATTGTGGTTGTCATGACACAAGCCACTGTTCATGTGATGAAAGCAGCTCTAAAGATGAAAAGGTTGTGATGAGAAAACACAGAAGTGGAGATGTAAATAACTTGGTTAATAAATCCTTAGACACTAAGTGTTCAGATTCCAAGGGCATTTTGTCTGAAGCTTGTAGTCCCTCTTCTGCAGACAGGGAAGAAGCCAACCAATCACGGAGGACTGGAGAAGTTGTAAGTGATGCCTTCGATTTCCTGAAGGATTTAGAAGATGGTCAACATCCACATTACCATGACACTGTTACCATGGTAACAGGAGGAGAGGACAAAATCTTCAACAAACTTTCTATGGTTAGTGAGATTTCTGAGAAGTCTAATTCCTTGAATGACAAGTCTATCACAAGCAATGACAGTAGTGACAATATAAAACATGGACAGGACAAGTCAGAAAGTCCTGCAAAAGAGCAAGTCAAAGTTCTCAGGAGACAACGGAACCTGTCGAGTGATTCCCTGGATAATTCAGAAGAGTCCTCAGATGAAGACACAGGTAAGAATTTATAAAGAAATATTAAAAAATGTAATGTAATGTATATAGATGTAAACTTCATCAAATATGTGGCAGGCAGGGTTGATAACCAGTTGCCAGAAAGTTCAGTTGATAGAGCACCTGCCTTTAAGTGATTCTAAAGATCCAGGTTAAACCTAGTCTGGCCTGTCACAATTGTTCCTTTCCTGTTACAGTTACAAAAGTATTGGGAAGTGAGGCAAGAACTTTTGATGAAATGAATTCAAAAGCAATTTAGTCAGATAAAAAAAAAACTCTTGTTTTCCTGTCACTGCAAAAAGTCAAAACCAAAGTAACTAAAATTTGTTAAATGACTGCAGAGCTAGTGGAAACTTGTTTTAAAAGAGCTGATTCAAACTTTATGATACTAGTAATTTCTTTGTGCATATTGTTGCCCATTATCTAAAATGTTCAGGAGAAACTGACATATATCAACATAAAAGGGAAAGTTTTTACTGAAAATTATGCAGGTGTCACATTTTTTTTCTGCTAGGGGAGTGCCTCCAATTTTGTGAATAATCCCTAGGTCACCACTTAGTCTTAATAGTATGATGTATAGTGTAGTTTTTATTCATTATGTGGCAAAAATTTGAGCATGAATTTGAAATGTCCCTGTATTTTTAAAATATAGGACAGATTGCACTTATGATACATATATAAAAATGTAAGTGGATTTTCTAAAAAGCAGCTGCCTTTTTCAGTATTTCTTAAGTATTTTTAGATGAACACAAAAGTAGTCAGCCCCAAGATATACATTAAACTTTGATGTTTCCTTAACTATTTATGTTCATCAACTTCCTTCAATATTGAATTTCAAATCATAAGTGTTCATCAACAAAAAAAGTAAGACAGTAGATATTAAGAGAAAGCCAAAATTCTAGCATTTACCATACTCTGTAGAATGGTGGTCAGATAGGTTCTTGAAATGGCCAGACAACTAAGTTAATGGTTACTCAGGGACCCTGGTTCAATCTCAGATAACCCAGTTAATGGTAGAGCACCTGATTCAGTTAATTGTAGAGCAACTGACTCAGGGGCCCTGGTACAATATCAGACAACTCAGTTAATGGTAACTAAGAGCACCTGACTCAAGGGCCCTGGTTCAATCTCAGACAACTCAGTTAATGGTACAGCACCTGACTCAAGGGCCCTGGTTCAATCTCAGATAACTCAGTTAATGGTACAGCACCTGACTCAAGGGCCCTGGTTCAATCTCAGATAACTCAGTTAATGGTAGAGCACCTGACTCAGCAGCGGCATGGCTCAATCTCAGATAACCCAGTTAATGGTAGAGCACCTGACTCAGGGGCCCTGGTTCAATCTCAAACAACACAGTTAATGGTGATTTGGGGGCCCTGGTTCAATCTAAGATAACTCGGTTAATGGCAGAGCACCAGACTCAGTGGCCCTGGTACAATCTCAAACAACTCAGTTAATAGTAGAGCATCTGACTGATGGGTCTTGGTTCAAAATCAGATAACTCAGTTAATGGTAGAGCACCTGACTTAGGGGCCCTGGTTCAATCTCAGATAACTCAGTTAATGGTAGAGCACCTGCCTCATGGGTCTTGTTCAATCTCAGATAACTCAGTTAATGGTACAGCACCTGACTCAGCAGCGGCATGGCTCAATCTCAGATAACTCAGTTAATGATAGAGCACAGGACTCAGGGGCCAAGATTCAATCTCAGATAACTCAGTTAATGGTAGAGCACCTGACTCAAGGGCCCTGGTTCAATCTCAGACAACTCAGTTAATGATAGAGCACCTGACTCAGGGACCCTGGTTCAATGTCAGACAACTCAGTTAATGGTAGAACACCTGACTCAGGGGCCCTGGTTCAATCTCAGACAACTCAATCAATGGTAGAACATCTGACTCAGCCGCCCTGGTTCAATCTAAGATAACTCAGTTAATGGTAGAGCACCTAACTTAGGGGCCCTGGTTTAATGTCAGACAACTCAGTTAATGGTAGAACACCTGACTCATGTGTCCTGGTTTAATCTCAGATAACTCAGTTGATGGTAGAGCACCTGACTCAGGGACCCTGGTTCAATCTCAGATAGTTTACTTAATGGTAGAAAATCTGACCCAGGGGCCCTGGTACAATCTCAGTTAATGGTTGAGCATCTGACTCAAGGGCCCTGGTTCAATCCCAGATGACACAATTAATGGTAGAGCATCTGACTCAGGGGCCCTGGTTCAATCTTAGACAACTCAGTTAATGGTAGAACACCTGACTCAAGGGCCCTGGTTCAATCTCAGACAACTTAATGGTAGAACACCTGATATAGGGGCCATGGTTCAATCTCAGACAACTCAGTTAATGGTAGAACACCTGACTCAGGGGCCCTGGTTCAATATCAGATAACTCAGTTAATGGTAGAGCATTTGACTCAGGGGCCCTGATAGTCTGGTTCAATATCAGATGACTCAGTTAATGGTAGAGCATTTAACTCAAGGGCCCTCACTCAATCTGCTCCATCATATCTTTCTCTCCTCCTGTAACTTTTGGTACCTGTGCCTTGCTGTCAGGAGTGACAGGTGAAAGTACTGTGTGGAAAGAAACTCTGAGTTGGTGTCTTCAGGGGCAAAGACTTTTAGGGCAAATTGTGGCAGAGAGTTGGACTTGGCCACCAGTGACAGGATATGAGTAAAACTCTAGTTAGTAGTAGTAGAGCATCTGACTGGAGATTCAGGAGGCCTGCCTTGGGTTCTATCCTGGTCCATCACATTCTTTCTATTAATCTTATAGTGGCTGCAATTCAGCAAAAATACTTAGAAAAATTTTAAGATGCTGGAAATGCATAGCATTATCATATACAAGAATTTTAACCGTTTGCCCATAGCAATGGTGAGCAGACAACTCTTTGCCCATTCCCAAAAAGGTAAGGGTTCAAGTCCCAGATTTTAATTTTTATGGAGACCAAGTGACTAATTTTTATTACAACCAGAAATCCTTTATTTAATTTGTTCTTCAGTAGATGTCAGAATGACCAAATTTCAATCCACATTTAAATTTTGCTTCAGTTATTCAAATGCAAAGGCATTTATATTTGGATTTGAATAATTTGCTCTTCATTGAATAATTTTATGCATTCAGAAATCACTCAACTGAATTTGATTGATGGATCAGTCTTGAAAGCTGCAATCTGGAGTCCAATCGTAGCCGTCTCCTATATGAGAGAGGATCATACATTTTACTGGTGGTTGTAACAATGGTAATGATTATGTTAGGCTTGAACTGCTTCACATAACAGTGCCAATCCAAGCCAAGGCCATAACTAGGCTCAAATTTTTTGTGAGGCAAGGGTCCTGGGCATTCCTAGTCCCAGACGGCACCTGATGGCCAGTGGTGGGGGTTTCCATGTGAGGGGGGGGAATGAAACCTGGGTATTAGAAAATAAAAGATTTAATCCTAGAAAGTTTTAACGTTTGAATTCCTAGTCCCAGACGGCACCTGATGGCCAGTGGTGGGGGTTTCCATGTGAGGGGGGGGAATGAAACCTGGGTATTAGAAAATAAAAGATTTAATCCTAGAAAGTTTTAACGTTTTGAATTGTCGTCTGCATGGCGCAGTTGTTAGAGCGTATGCTCTAGAATCGCAGACTAAGGAGTTGAACCTTGCATCGCGGGTTAGAATTCCACTGCGGGATGTAGAGTCTGGTCCTTCTCCTATGTCACAGAAAGTGATGGCACAAAAAAAGATCTCTCAGTGTTCAATCATCTTCAGTGACCCTGAAAGCCCACTACAGGATTTAAAACTTGCAGCCCTCAAAGGCGAGTAGTGCTGTCTCAATATGAATGAGAAATTCTTAGAAGGGGTGTTAAACAATCAAACAATTTACAAAACAAACATTTTGTATAATAAATTACATATGTGTTCTAACTGAAAATGAGGCACCTTGTGAGATGAGAGATTTCAACAAAAGTTGAAATATTAATTTAGCACTTAGACATACATAACTCATGAGTTCAAGGTAAAACTTTTTCACTTTTCAGAAAGCTCAAAAAAATTAGTGAGGCATTTGCCTCACTTGCCTCAATGGTAGTTATGGTGTTGCAAGCCCATATAAAATTGTTTTAATATTTTAATTTGCCTTAGTAATTTTAAAATCATTATGCAAAATTCAATTTTTGTTGTCAATAAAGTGCATTACTATAAAATTCCATTGGTATAAAAGCATAGAAAAATGAAAGGCTCAGAGATATAATATATATCTATATTAAGTAAAAGCACTTAAAGTGAACTAGTCAATAAAAATTGTCAAATTTTGGGGACGACACATCACTTCCTAAGGACAAAAAAATCAAAGAAGTCGCAGATCGATCAGAAAACAAAGAAATCAAAGAAACAATTTTACAACTAGCACTACCGTAATACTAAACACTAGATATTTACATTATTGTTAAATGTTTAATTTGAGATTTCTAACCAGTTTTAGAGAAAGAAATTGTGAGCACTGGGAAATGTGTCCTGTCTATAGCGGGTGTCCTCTGCAGAAGAGTAATCCCCCCCATAAAAAAAAGAGATGGCTACATTTTTGCAGCTGACGTTTCACAACCTCCAGGTCTTACAAACAACCCATGTTGCATCATAATGCCACTGGCTTACATCAATACATATAATATATTAATTGATAGAAATTGTATCGAAGAAAATGGAATAAAAATAGCATATGGAACTTTGGCCATCTTGTCAAATATACTGCACTCTTATAAAATCCTTTTATATATCAATCAGGAAGTTAGAGTGAAGGTTTGTATATATTTTAGAAAAACTTCAGTTCATCTTAAATGGTTATACTAATTTTCACCCCCTAGATAAACAGGATAAGGCCTCTTTAAGAGTGTCGATTGGTGGTATACATCACTGCTCATTTGTTGTCAATTATTAATTCTAAATAACATTTCCTCAGCATTGGATGAAATATTCATACTAATGTGCAGAACGACATGTAAATAAAACATAGGTAGTAGGCCTATATAAATTATTATTTTTCTCTTCCTTGTAAATGAATAATGTGCACATTATATCTACAAGTAACCCTGCATACAATACCTTTTTGTGTTCATATTAGCAGTGCTTGTCACAGATTTGACAAAATCTTTTAAAGTACTTAAGATAAATTTTCCCTATATAAACACATTTAATTCATTCTTGTGCATATTTTTAGCTCACCTCAACGAAGTTGGGGGGAGCTTATGTGATACCCTCGGCGTCGGCGTCGGCGTCCCAGGTTAAGGTTAAGTTTTTTGGAGCAGTTTTCTTTTTAAGTACTTCTATGTCCTATATTGATTAGACATGCATGGAAGATGGTTCTAGTGTGTTTCATTGTACCAGTCAAAGTTTCAGATGCTGCAATTTCAGCAAAGGAATGACCAGGTTAATGTTTTTGGAGCAGGTTAACATTTTTGGTGCAGTTTTTGGTGTAGGTTTCATTTCCAAGTAACTGTAAGCCCTATGTTGACCAAACTTGCATGGATGATACATCTACGGATGCATACTACCAGGCTTGCTGCGGATGCTGAATCTGACCTACATTTTACGGTTGAGTGAACAGGTTAAAGTTTTTGGTGCAGGTTTCATTTCCAAGTAACTATAAGCCCTATGTTGACCAAACTTGCATGGATGATACATCTAAGGATGCATACTACCAGGCTTGCTTCGGATGCTGAATCTGACCTACATTTTACGGTTGAGTGAACAGGTTAAAGTTTTTGGTGCAGGTTTCATTTCCAAGTAACTATAAGCCCTATGTTGATTTTTTTTTTTACCAAACTTGCATGGATGATACATCTACGGATGCATACTACCAGGCTTGCTTCGGATGCTGAATCTGACCTACATTTTACGGTTGAGTGAACAGGTTAAAGTTTTTGGTGCAGGTTTCATTTCCAAGTAACTATAAGCCCTATGTTGACCAAACTTGCATGGATGATATATCTTAGGATGCATACTATCGGGCTTGCTTCGGATGCTGAATCTGACCTACATTTTACGGTTGAGTGAGCAGGTTAAAGTTTTTGGTGCAGGTTTCATTCCCAAGTAACTATAAGCCCTATGTTGACCAAACTTGCATGGATGATACATCTACGGATGCATACTACCAGGCTTGCTTCGGATGCTGAATCTGACCTACATTTTACGGTTGAGTGAACAGGTAAAAGTTTTTGGTGCAGGTTTCATTTCCAAGTAACTATAAGCCCTATGTTGACCAAACTTGCATGGATGATATATCTAAGGATGCATACTACCGGGCTTGCTTCGGATGCTGAATCTGACCTACATTTTCCAGTTGAGTGAACAGGTTAAAGTTTTTGGTGCAGGTTTCATTTCCAAGTAACTATAAGCCCTATGTTGACCAAACTTGCATGGATGATACATCTAAGGATGCACACTACAGGGCTTGCTTCGGATGCTGAATCTGACCTACATTTTCTGGTTGAGTGAACAGGTTAAAATTTGGTGCAGGTTTCATTTCCAAGTAACTATAAGCCCTATGTTGGCCAAACTAGCATGGATTATACATCTAAGGATGCATACTACCAGGCTTGCTTCGGATGCTGTATCTGACCTACATTTTCCAGCTGAGTGAATAGGTTAAAGTTCATTTCCAAGTAACTATGAGTTCTTTAATGACCAAACTTGCGTGGATGATACATATAAGGATGCATACTACTGGGCTTGCTTCGGATGCTGAATCTCACCTACTTTTTGTTGATGAGTGAAAATGTTAGTTTTTGATGCATGTTTCATTTCCAATTAACTACGAGCCCTATAATGAGCAAACTTGCATGGATGATACATCTTAGGATGCACACTAATGGACTTGCTTCGGATGCTGAATTCGACATACATTTTCAGATAATAGATTAGGTAAAAGTTATGGGTGCAGGTCTATTATCAAAAAACTATAAGGCTTATATAAGATTGTATAAACCAAATTTGCACAAATGTTTTATCAAGAGATGAAAACTCTCAAATTTGCTTCAGATGCTGGATTTTAATTACATTTTCATGAAGAAGAACTAGTTTGAATTTTTTATGTAGTTCTATTTCAAAATCAGATTAAAATTGCTTAAATATTTTCATTTTTGGAATGTACACTTCTTGTTGGTTAATTGTGTGACTTTGCCTTACTTAAAGACAACATTCGTTGAGGTGAGCTCTGTAATCTCTGATTACCTATGTTTTGTTGATGGAAGAAGTTTCAACTCAAAATTTCCACATTTTTAGCATGTACCTCAACATCCCATCAGTTCAGAATTAAGGAGTGGGGGAGGGGGGATGGGGGGGGGGGGGCTTATAATCACAGTCCAGAATGAACCTATTTCAGAATTTCTTCAATTTAAATTCATGCTTTCTTTTTATAGCATAAACAATTGAAATTAATCAATATAATGAGTAATTAAAGTGGTAGCTTTATATTTGGTTTATGCAATATAAATTTAAAATTAAGTAATTTTAATTTTAATATTGAAAAATTATCGAAATAAAGTTTACTTTGTATAAATTCCCCTCAAAAAAATTAATAAACTTGATCATGCTCACATCAATCCAACTCCTTCGACTGAATGCATTACTCTGCATGCATAGGAATTATATAATTGTTTGTATAAGTACTATCAAATTTTAATTGCATGAGGACTTTATTTCAGGTATATATAATGAAAGCTATAGAAAGTCTGTATGGCTGTGTATGCCAGAAGAAAAGTCACCCCAGTCGTTACAACCACCCAGCATAGCAGAGGAGCAAGAATCTGGTAAACATTTTACAGTAAAACTCATTTAGTACGAACACGGATATAGCGAATTCATGGATATAGCGAAGTTTTTCAGGGTCCCCAGCAAAATTCTTCACAAATCTTTGTAAAATTTTATGGTTATAACAAACTCTGGTATAACGAATTTACGGATATAGCGAACTGATTTTGAGTACCATTGAGGTTATATATAATGAAATTTACATCTTTTATAACAAACTTTCCAACATTATAAAAAAATTGAAAAATTGAATTGATTTAATTTACTTTTAGCATTTGTATATAAAATTCAATTCATAATAAAACCTTATTGAAAAATTGAAAAATTGAATTGATTTAATTTACTTTTAGCATTTGTATCTAAAATTCAATTCATAATAAAACCTTAGTTATCGAAGATGTGTTTTGTAATATTTGCTTCCCTAACATATCTGGTAGTAATACCTGAAGGAAAACACGCATATTGCGAATTCGCTATAATAATTATACGAATTCGTTATACGGATATAACGAATTACGGATATAGCGAAGTAAATTCACAGGTCCCTAGGACTACGCTATAACCGAGTTTTACTGTAATATCCTTTAAACAAAATAATGGGTTATTATACTGGAACCCCTTGTCCATCTGTCTGTAGACATTTCTTCTGTCCAGAGAATATCTTTGAAAGTTCTTATTAATCAAACTATGCACATGGTATTTACAGAGTACATGACTTTTTAAAAAGTTAATAAAAAGTTTAAGGACTTTATTTTAAAGATTTCATTGTACAGGAATATGAAAGAGAAAACTTTTTATAATTTTTTATTAGACATTTTAACCTTGAAACCAAGGAACTTAAGAATCCTCATAATCTAAAATTAATTTGTGAACAGATGTTCTTCTGGACCCTTAGCCAAGGCCAATTTTGACAGGTCAAGGTCACAATCATCCATGGGTCCCAATTTTTCAGACCAGCGAACTAAGGAAAACATTTGGAAATTATTTTGGGCACAATCCTGGGGAAGGACATCTACAGATGTAAAATTTAAAAGTGTACTTCTATATTTGTTTAATGGTGTCTGCACGATGAAAAAAAAATTATCATGCTGTTGAAGAGTGGCATACTATCTTTGTTCCCACTTAACTTTTAATGTTTATTAATTAAATTGCATTCTAATGATGATATACCAAAACCATACTTGATTAATTTTCTAAACTACGTAAACAGATTGATAGAGTGTTAGAAGTTATTCAAATATTAATTAATGGTAAGGAAATATTTAAGATAGGATTCATAGGGGCAGTTCCACCGGAAAGCCCATTAAAAACTTAATTTTAGATATCAAAATAAGTTTCCAACAAAGTGCAATGCACATTAAACAGACTTAATAATTGTTGTTGCTAAACAAAAAAAAAAAAAGGAAAAAAAATTCAAATCATTTAAATTTACTTGCATATCATGAGTATCATTATTATTAATTTTCTAGTGATTATTTTTTTTTACATTCGGATAAAGTTTTACTAATTAGTACATATATCAGTTAGTTTTCTTCCCTCGGGCTAATTGTTTACTATGCATACATCAACTCATAACGATAGTCTTTATAGCTATGCCTGGAATGTACCAAGACCACTGAGCACTCAGTGTAAATTGTACCGTAAAGTTTGTATTTTTGCAAATAAACGGATGCTAAAGGATTCTTAAGATATGGATGAAAAACTTCATGCAGAACTGGAGAAAATAATTCAGGATTTAAGAAGTATACACATTTAGTTTAAAGTTTCAATTTATTCAATAATATTTTAATTTTGTATTTCACTGGCAGATATTTTCTGTGCATATTTTAAAAAAATTGTGTAATATTTCATAATGCTTAATTTATATTATTGTCTTTTCAGATGAAGTGTTTCTCAGAAGCAATGATACATTACAATTTGATAAACCACACAAAAGATCTGACTCCACAACAACAACTAAGTCAGAGTGCGAATTTAAACATGAATATCGCATCCGACGGAAATGTATGGTGCATCGCCATGACAGTCAGCAAGAATATCATCGTCTATCGGCAAAATTATATGGTTTGTGTCTCTTTTGAATTTCTGATTCTCAGAATATTGTGTGTTGTTTGTCTGTGTTATCTGAAATAACTTCAATGTATTTTTTTTTTACTTTTGAAGTACTTTCATGAGTTTTGTAGTCTCTTGCTGCTTCATATTTATGTTATATTTAATGCATTTGATATATTTTAAGGTGAATTATGTACAAGTACAAGTCTTCTGAGTCAAAAATTTGAGAGTTTTTGTCTGTCTGTCTGTTTACTTGTCCTTCTATAACATTTACATTTTTTTACTTCTTCTCATGGCCAACTGTGCAATATTGTTAAGATTACCAAGTGTGCAATATTGTTAAGATTGCCAACTCAGTGCAATATTGTTTAGATTGCCAACTGTGCAATCTTGTTAAGATTACCAACTGTGCAATATTGTTAAGATTGCCTATTGAATGTGCATTGTTAAGATTGCTACGCACCTTCACAGTATTGTTAAGATTGCCAATTGTACAGTATTGTTAGGATTGAATATATGGAAAAAGGGCTTTAGTTGTATGGAAAAGAATTACTTTATAACAAAATAAATAGAATGCCACTAAATAAAATACTAACAAAATTTGTGATTTTAAACTTTATGAGAATATTATGAACTACATGTATAGTAAAACTTTCAATTTTGTGCAATTTTATTAAAATACATTACATGTAAAACATAATTGCATTCATTAATTAAACACACTAAGGTCACTCATGTGAGCTTTGTAGCCCATACACCTCTTGTTTTATTATTTTACTTGTATTTATTACAGAACAAGAAAAAGTGGTTGTGATCACAAAAGAGGACCAGGACCGAGATTTTGGCCTTCATATATACGACAGTCATCCGGCATTCATAACAGAGGTGGACATGGGTAAATATTTCTATGAATATCTGTATTCATGTCCCTTGAGTTTATCACTCTGAATGATACTGAAAGCTGAACAAGATTTTGTAAAAGGAATTTGTCTGCCATATTTCTTTATTCACACACTATATTCGAAGGTCTCTATATAAGCCACTTATTAAGTCACCATCTGTGTAATCAGTTGTCACCTGTGTGTGTAGACTGAGTGCTGAGACATCTATCTTAAATTCATGTAGCACATGTATAATTGAATATTTAGCCTATGCCTATTTACGATTAATGAGAGGCTTCTCTTAATATAAAAGTTTTATTGTTGCATTTATTACTTGCATTTACGTTTATAAGAGGGGTCTATATCCCCCCCTGCCTTTCACCTGCCTTTAAGATCTGCCTCTGATTTTAACTTCTTTATATTATTAGGAAGCCCTGCCTGCAGAGCAGGGATAAAACCAGGTCAGATACTTATTGGTGTTAACGGAGTCAATGTTCTGGAATCAACTCATGAGGAAATTATCAAACTGATGCAAAAAGGTCAGTCAAAAAAGGAGGAACGATGTATTCTATACTGTAAGTCAAATTATATCTGTTAGTGAGTAATTCAAGAGTTATCTCTCTTGAGTCAGAGCTGAAAAAAAAGAAATACATGTTGAGTCATCTTTAAAATAATGTTTACCCTCTCCCAGCTCAAGTCATAGTGAGAAATTTTTTTCTCGGAAATGTTCAATGCTGAATTTTTAAATTCTATTAAATTTTAAGGTATTACTTTGTCAAAACCCACAGGAATGCACTTTGTTCGAAGTGTAGTGGAGAGAAAACCTATGGGTTCTAAAGATAAAGGTTAATTAATAAAATAAAGTAATTATTCAAAGGATGAGAAAATAACAATAATCTGCAACAAGGTTTTAGAATTTCATAAGCAAAAAAAAAGGGGGGGTCTCTCCTCTAAATTCAGTAGTAGTGTATTGCACATGCTGCGGTATATATATACTATTATTTGGCTAGTATTTCAAATGTGAACAGTTTATCTTAATTCTAATACAATAATGAACAACAAGGTTTAAGAATTTCATACCAGCAAGAAAAAAAAGGGGGGGTCTCTCCTCTAAATTCACAAGTATATAAAGTGCACATGCTGCGGTATATCTAAATACATATGTACTATTACTTGGCTAGTATTTCAAATGTGAACAGTTTATCTTTCTAATACACACGTTATATATATTTTTGATAATTGTTTTTAATTAGATCCGAGCATGGTGAAGATAGAAGTGGCTGCTGGGAATGATGTTCATTACATTAGGAATGCCCAGACACCTGTACTGAGTGGTTACATGTACAAACAGAGTAACTCCACGTTTGTCAAGAACTGGAGGCGGCGGTTCTTTGTACTGAGATACGACAACTGTCTGTACTACTATAAAGGAGAACAGGTATTATACCTTAAAGTCAGGCCTATGTATGATTGGGAGAAGGCTCAAATCAGCTTATATTACTGGTATACCTGAAAGTCAGGCCTATGTATGATTGGGAGAAGGCTCAAATCAGCTTATATTACTGGTATACCTTAAAGTCTAAGTCCTGTGTGTGATTGGGAGAAGGCTCAAATCAGCTTATACTGCTGCACAATAAAACTCAACTTACTAGTATATTGTACTGCACAATAAAACTTAGTCTATTCCTGTTCATGTTTGGGTCATAATGGAAGAGCTAGACATTTCTGTTTGTCGCAATAGACTGCTGTGCAATACAAATACATATTCAAAATTTGAAATGTATCAAATATTTTAAAAATATTTTTCTCACAAATATACTGATTTATTGTATTTATCTACAGGAGCAGGACCCTCTAGGAGCATTCCCTCTGCTGAATTACATTGTGTCCAAACATACTGACTCTAGCAGAGAGCATTGCTTCAAGGCAGAGAAGTTTGGAGCCAGAACTTACTACTTTATCCCTGACTCAAGGGAGGAGATGATCAAGTAAGTAATATAAAAAACAACAAGACCTCTCTTATTGAATTCTGAACAATAACTTATACAGCACTCAGCCAGACTTGGCGCACAATATTCACATCCCAAATCAATGGCTTGTTGTGTTTTTAGGTCACCTGTTTAAACTCAGGTGACCTATTGCTATCTCTTTCTGTCCGTCGTCGTACATCGTCTGTCGTTCGTCGGTCGTAAACTTTTGAACATTTTAAGCTTCTTCTCTGGAACAACTGTACCAATTTCAACCAAATTTGGTATACAGCATCGGAACAAAAATTGTGAATTTCATGGTCTCTGCCCCCCTGGGGCTTGAGGGGTGGGCCAAAACCACTAAAATTAATGCAATCTTTAAAAATCTTCTTCTTTACTCCTGGACATCAAGCAGTCAAATTGTTTGCATGATTGTAATGAGCATTGGGTCCTCTATCAAAATTGTGAAATTCATGGCCCCAGGGTCAGGGGTTTTAGTGTTAGGGCGGAGCTAAATGGATTATATGGTTATTAAGTAAACAAACTAAGAACGTAGTTCTGATGAGCAAGAGTGCCTCTACCAGAATTGTGAATTTTATGGCCCCAGGGTCAGGGGTTTTGGTGTTAGGGCGGGCTATATGGATTAAATAGTGAAAATGCATTTATTCTTTGAAAATCTTCTTCTCTGCTTCTGGGTATTAAATAAACTAACTAAGCACATAATTATTATGAGCAAAAGTGTCTCTTCCAAAATTTTGAATTTTATGGCCCCAGGGTCAGGGGTTTGGGTGTTAGGGCGGGGCTCAATTGATTATATAGTGAAAATCCATGTATTCTTTGAAAATCTTCTTCTCTGTTTTTGGGTATTAAATAAACTAACTAAGCACATAGTTATGATGAGCAAGAGTGCCTCTTCCAAAATTGTGAATTTTATGTCCCCAGGGTCAGGGGTTTTGGTGTTAGGGCGGGGCTAAATGGATTATATAGTGAAAATGCATTTATTCTTTGAAAACCTTCTACTCTGCTTCTTGGTATTAAATAAACTAACTAAGCAGATAGTTATAATGAGCAAGAGTGCCTCTTTCAAAATTGTGAATTTTATGTCCCCAGGGTCAGGGGTTCTGGTATTAGGGCGAGGCTCTTATGATTATATAGTGAAAATACATTAATTCTTTGAAAATCTTTTCCTTTGCTCCTGTGTTTTATGCCAATGATCCAAGTATATACATTTATGATGAAGAAAGGTGTATCTAGCAAAACTGCTCTTTGGTATTATTCAACCATTTTATAATAAAATATGCAAAATTTTGAAATATGTGACCCCAAGGTCAGTGGTTCCTTTGGGGTGAGGTGCACAACTGGTTAGAAAGTGAAAGTGCATTTTCTCTTTGTTACTCTGATCTACCTCTGGGTGTAAGTAATAGAGTAAGCATGCTAAGTTTATAATTATGATAAGCAATGGTGCCTCTTTCAAAATTGTGAATTGTGAATTTCATGGCCTCTGGTTTAAAAAACAAACCAAATTTAATTGTTTGAAAGTTGTTACACAATACTCAGGTGACATAAAAGGCCCGTGGGCCTCTTGTTAAAAGATGTGTTAATTCTGTTTTGAATTTCATTATACATGTATTTTTCAAAAAAATGTTTTTCTAGAAAATTTTGTTTTTCTTAATAAGACGAATTGATTTCCTTTGTAGTTGGATCTCAGCATTAAATGAAGCAGCTACCAGAGCCAGAGAGAAGGTCAGAGTGATTTCCCTTTGATTGATTTTGTCAGACCAAGTTGTTCAGGACCCAGAACTGACTCAATATTGAATTTAATTAAGAAGAAATAAAATAATTAAAGGATAGCCATTTTTGACAAAGTTATGCCCCTTGGACTTGGAAAAACTCCAATTATGTACAGTTTCCATTCATTTTCTTTTCAAAAGTTGAACATACTGAAATGAAGTATCTAAGTAAAGTTTTATTTTGGGTATGATCAAGATATATTTGACAAAGTTATGCCCCGTGGACCTAGAAAAATTCCAATTATTTGCAGTTTCTGTTCATTTTCTTTTCAAAAGTTGAACATACTGAAATGAAATTTGGTATACAGATTGATCATAAAAGTATCTAACCTAAGTAAAGTTTTATTTTGGGTATAATCAAGACATATTTGACAGTTATGCCCCGTGGACCTAGAAAATCCAATTATTTGCAGTTTCTGTTCATTTTCTTTTCAACAGTTAGCATACTGAAATGAAATTTGGTATACAGATTAATCATAAAAGTATCTAGGTAAAGTTTTGTTTTGGTTATGTTTTGAGCCATATTTGACAGAATTATGCCCCTTGGACTTAGAAAATTCAAATTATTTGCAGTTTCCGTTCATTTTCTTTTCAACAGTTGAACATACTGAAATGAAATTTGGTATACAGATTAATCATAAAAGTATCTAGGTAAAGATCTGTTTTGGTTATGTTCAAGCCATATTTGATAGAGTTATGCCCCTTGGACTTAGGAAATTCCAATTATATGCAGTTTCCGTTCATTTTCTTCACAGAGGTTACACCTATTGATCATGAAATGAAAGGATGAGTACACTTAACGTTGTGTTTTGGGTCTTTTTTGGTCGCTTCTTTGCTTTTTGTCCTCCGCTTGAAAAGTGGGGGATATTAATTTGGGTCTGTCTGTCCGTCTGTTCGTCTTTCTGTCTGTCCGTAATGCTTTCTTTTCCACACGATATCTCGAGAACCCTTTGAGCTTTCGCAATGAAATTTTGCATAGCAACTCCCTATGGACTAAAGAAGAATCTATTGATGTAAAATGTAAGGCATATAGTGACAGTCTAGGAAATCCGCGTAGATTTCTACCCGCGGATTAAACAGAAATTGAGATTCCACGGAATTATGACCCCGTGGAAAAAAGTATGTCTACAGTATACAAGTATCTGACTTCATGTTTGCATATAATTTTCAGCAATGTATAGCGGTTCCGTGGTCTAGTGGTAACTCTCTCGCTCCACATGTGAGAGGTTCTGGGTTCGATTCCCGGAAGATCCATTTTTTTTTTTTTCCGAAATACTTTTTCTTACTAAATGATAGTATTCAGCATGTGAAATGAAAAATTTATGAGGTCTGCCTTGTACAAACTCATAAGATCATCATTATAGTGTGATAAATATTCCATACAAAAAGAATCTTCTATACACATAATAAAGAATAAGCAATCAAATCTTTTTATCCATATTAGCATATTTTATTTGCTTCAGTATACATGTATACATTTAATAATTCTACAAATTCAGTCAGGGGGATCCGACTCCCCCCCCCCCCCCCCTTCTCCCCGAACTGTGCATGGTTTACTTTTTCCCTAAGCGGGGGACACAAATTCTCTGAATTAGCTTGTAAATCTTGACATAAGTTCACTTTTATATATTTACTACAGTGGTCTGTCAATTATTCACCCATTTTAAATGTTAAATATGATTTTAGACTGTTATGTTATAACTAATTTTACGTTTTTGTCCTTACCGTTTTCCAAATACAGATCATTTACACTGACCTGCCCTTGATTGAACATTATGTAATGAGAGGTGGAGCTAACATATCGTAAGAATGGAACTAAAATTAGACTGGATAAATAACAATGACTTGTATTAAAAAATACTAGATCTCTATTTTTCATCTTCCTATTTATTCTGTATGGCACAAGTACATTATTTACAAAGATTTTAAAATTATGAGACCATTCATGTAAGTAAAGAATATTTTAAATTGGTGACTAAGTATTTAATGTGTTCAAGCACAGTGTCCTAGTTAGCACAAAAAATGCTACCAACAAGTCACGTGACGGAATTTTGTATCCACAAAACTACCTGACAAAAGATATCACGTGGTAAATTATAATATTCAACGTGTCACAGTCTTGGTTACAACAGAGAGAGCGAGTGTAAGAAGAAGCAGTTTTTTCTCTTTTAAACCATGAGCGCATGTTTGTCTCTTAATCTCCTTTTCATTAACACAACATTACAAAAGCAAATCTACAACTAATGTTAAAAGGAGAACAATAGACAAACATGCGCTGACTGTATAAAGTGTGTAAAAAAGTGGGCGTCCTCATTATCGTACGGAGATTGAAGAACTTGAGATGACCCCACCTTAGAAAACAGATTCGTACATCATAGATACATACTTTTATTTATTGTAATTAAGTAAAGTTGTACCGGGGTAGATTAAATGTTTATGATTCCTGCAATTAAAAGAAAAATGTCTGTTTTTAAAGTTTATTTTGACACAAATTTCGCAAATCCTTAAGTGCAGTCATCCTTTGGTATATAGATTTTTCCATAGGAGTATCTAGGTCAAGTTCTGTTTTGGGTATGATCAAGCAATTTTTGAGTTATGCCCTTAAACTTCCAATTATTTAGGGGGAGGGGGCATAAGTGTTCCACAAATATTTCTTGTTTCTATTTTGTAGTACTTGGTGAATGTACATGACTTTGTTATCAGCAGTTATCCTTTATACCCCTGTTAGGTACAATCTTATTCTGGATTCTAATGACTGACATACCTATTTTCTATTTTATGGTTTACAGAAAGACTCCTGGATGGATGTGACTGCCCACAATGTAGGACTCCCTGCTCTAGACATTAAAAAGCCGGAGTGTTCAGGGTATCTCTCCAAGTGTGGGGGCGCTGTCAAATCCTGGAGAAAACGATACTGTGTGCTCAAAGACGCCTGTATATATTATTATAAAAACATCAATTCTTCAAGTGCTCAAGGTATGTTACCAGTTTCATTCATTCATTTATTCTCTCAAAAACCATATGTATGGTACAAGAGGTACATATATACATATTTACAATAATTATGGACGAGCAGAAATTACAGGAGGACAGACAGTGTCAAAACTTTTGGTGATAAATATACACAATTTTCATAAGAATGTTGGATCAGTACTTGTCATCAAATTACAGAATTTTAAAATATTTGGATGTACATAGTATTTCTGCAACAAAAAATCTTTTCGGATACTACATAATGCATTACATTCCAGTAAATAATGAAATTTGTCTCCTATCTGATTATTATTACATAAATTGCACACTCTTTCATTTCTTTCAACATTATTCCATCTACCCATTCAAAAATATCAATCATCCATTTGTTTTAATTAAATCTACTAGATATACATGTACTACATACAGTTATAATTGTTTCTATGGATAATGGAATATAATGTTTCAAAGTGTATTTTGAAATGAAAACAACTTTTTACAAGGATGTACTTTTTAGTATTTGTGATAACAATTGACCAAATTCCTGATATTTGTGTTAAAAACAGGTGAAAACAATATTCATACAGTTTCAAGATTAGACTCTATGACTTTGACCAAATATGAAGACAAAATGTCATTTTTATTGAACTCTTTTAATCTCCATTTCTGTTTATAATAAAGAACTTTAATTTTAGCATCTTCTATTTAGCATCTTTTCCCTTGAAATGAAAACAACTTTTTGTAAGGGTGTACTCTTTTGGTATTTGTGATACCACTTGACCGAATTCTTGGTATTTGTGATAGGTATGGCCCATCTCCATGGTTACAAGGTGGACCAGGTCCCAGGTTCCCCGAAGAAACACAACTTTATCCTCAGACCCCCGGAGCCTCAGATGCGAACATTTAGTTTCTGTGCCGAGAATGAGACTGATAAAAACAGGTGAAAACAATAGACATACAGTTTCAAGATTAGACTCTATGACTTTGACCAAATATGAAGACAAAATGTCATTTTTATTGAACTTTTTTAATCTCCATTTCTGTTTATGATAAAGAACTTTAATTTTAGGTGGATGGTTGCTATGGAGAAGTCAATACAACGCTGGATAAAGGTTGACTAAAGCCAGAATCTAATGGTCCCTGAATATAAATTACATCTTTGAAATCTTTTCCTTAACCTTGATGTATGGATCAAGCTAGCAAGCTGTCTGAGTGAAGGAATTAGCATTTAACAAAAATTGTAAAAAGCATAATATTATATTTTTGGTTTAGACCCAGGATTGAGGCTGCAGACATGTACACCCCTCAGACCCAGGTCGGAGCTTATCAAGATTAATCTCGTGTTGAATATTTTTTACAGAGTACCTTAGTTTGAAAAGTATCTGTCACAGCTAGTGGTTATTACATACTCTACAAGCAAAAACTATGTGTCTTAATTAACTAAATCACGGTTCATATATAATTTGTATCGCCAGGGTAAACACATAACATAAAGTTAACATTGTTTAGTGTAGTTTGTAATTCACCTTAAGATTACTTTACTCCTGAACATCTAGAAGACAAATCATGTAATACGACAATGAACATGAAGTCCTCACTATGTTAATAATACTAAAATCCATGTTATGTCTTCAAAGTCCATATTCATGTCCCAGGGCAGGGCGGAGAAGTCAAATCCTGATTTAGACCATCAAGGCCCATAGGAATTTTCCTTTGAATTCTAAAAAAGGGCTAAGAATATTCTGAAATATGTTTCACGTAAATGTATCTAAAAAAAAAAAAAAAAAGAAAAAAAAAATTCAAAACAATTTTTCCTACTGCTTATTTACAACAGCTTTTGTTAACAATGATCAAGATGTAACTGCAAGTAAATTTAATATGTTATTTTTTATTGTTTTTTATATAAAATATGTTTCATGTTAGTCTTGTTTTTAACAATAATAGTCCTGCAAATGTCTTGCACGTAGTAAATTTAATAAGTTATTTTTTAAAATTACCGCCATCCGCCACCCTGTTTTCATAACAAACGTCCATTTTTAAGTGTCAATAAAATATGTTGAAGCGCGGCTAATTGGTTGTGACGCTATGTTGTCATGTAAAGGCAGACAAGGTACATGCAATTGAGTAATTAAACAAGAATTAATAAACAATAATTTTAACATGAACTGTTATAATAATTTTGATTTCTGTTTATTAAAAATCATTTAGTCACGGCTTCGCCACGAAAGCGGTCGTTGTTAAAGTAAGCCGATAACGATATTATTTTGATGATCTCTGCCTTAAACGATGCTAAGTTTGCTAAAAAAAAAAAATAATTATACAGTATAAAAAATCGATGATGCCATAAACAGTGAATTTATTGAAGAATTCATTTTACGTACTATCTGCAATATATGTCGACCCAGTACAAGCATACACACGTAAAAACTATTATAATGAAAAAATTATATTTTGAAGTATTTTTAAATTTAGAAATATAATTTTATATACATGTTCATGTAATAATAAGAATAGAAACGCTAAATGGTATTGCAAATGTCTTGTTTTACACACCATATAGTACGTAGTAGTATGTTTCATAGCAGTCAGAAAAAATATTGGAGTATTTTAAAAACAAATTTATTTTCAGGTTTAAATATTCAAAGCCTTTGAAGGATTGCTAGAAAAGCAGCAGAGTATGCTTATAAAAAAAATAATTTTGAGATGGAGATATTTCTCTCAAAGCATGAGAAATATGATGATGATGATGAAGGATGAAAAATACAATGTTTGGCTGTCTGAAATAAAAATGTTTACTCTGTGGAAGATATGCAGAGGATGTGGTGATGGGGTGGGGAGAAGAATTAGAAAATGTCCATAGGAGGGGTGGGGGTAGGGAGAAGGGGTGGGGGTAAAGGAATTAGAAAATGTCCATGGGAGGGGGGGGGGTAGGGAGAGGAATTTGAAAATGTTCATCGGAGGGGTGGGGGTAGGGAGAGGAATTTGAAAATGTCCATGGGGGGGGGGGTAGGGAGAGGAATTAGAAAATGTCCATAGGAGGTGGTGGGGGTAGGGAGAGGAATTAGAAAATATCAATAGGAGGTGGTGGGGGTAGGGAGCGGAATTAGAAAATGATCATAGGAGGGGTGGGAGTAGGGAGAGAAATTAGAAAATGTCCATAGGAGGTGGTGGGTTTAGGGAGAGGAATTAGAAAATGTCCATAGGAGGTGGTTGGGGTAGAGAGAGGAATTAGAAAATGTCCATATGAGGTGGTGGGGATAGAGAGAGGAATTAGAAAATGTCCATAGGAGGTGGTGGGGATAGAGAGAGGAATTAGAAAATGTCCATAGGAGGTGGTGGGTGTAGGGAGAGGAATTAGCAAATGTCCATAGGAGGTGGTTGGAGTAGAGAGAGGAATTAGAAAATGTCCATAGGAGGAGTGGAAGTAGAGAGAGGAATTAGAAAATGTCCATAGGAAGTGGGTGTAGGGAGAGGAAAAATGTCCATAGGAGGTGGTGGGAGTAGGGAGAGGAATTAGAAAATGTCCATAGGAGATCATAGGAGGAGGTGGGGGTAGGGAGAGGAATTAGAAAATGATCAAAGGAGGTGGTGGGGGTAGGGAGAGGAATTAGAAAATGTCCATAGGAGGAGTGGGAGTAGAGAGAGGAATTAGAAAATGTTCATAGAAGGGGTGGGGGTAGGGAGAGAAATAGAAATGATCATAGAAGGGAGAGGAATTAGAAAATGTTCATAGGAGGTGGTGGGGATAGGGAGAAGATTAGAAAATGTCTGTAGGAAGGTTGGGGGTAGAGAGAAATTAGAAAATGTCCATAGGAGGTGGTGGGGGTAGGGAGAGGAATTAGAAAATGATTATGGGAGGTGGTGGGGGTAGGGAGAGGAATTAGAAAATGTCCATAGGAGGGGTGGGGGTAGGGAGAGGAATTAGAAAATGTCCATAGGAGGTGGTGGGGGTAGGGGGGTAGAGAGAGAGAATTAGAAAATGTCCATAGGAGGAATTAGAAAATGTGGTGGGGGTAGGGAGAGGAGAGGAAAATGTCCATAGGAGAAATTAGAAAATGTCCATAGGAGGGGTGTGGGTATCGAGAGGAATTAGGAAATCATCATAGGAGGTGGTGTGGGTATCGAGAGGAATTAGGAAATGATCATAGGAGGGGTGGGGGTAGGGAGAGGAATTAGAAAATGTCCATAGGAGGGGTGGGGGTAGGGAGAGGAATTAGAAAATGTCCATAGGAGGGGTGGGGGTATCGAGAGGAATTAGAAAATGTCCATCGGAGGGGTGGGGGTAGGGAGAGGAATTAGAAAGTGTCCATAGGAGGAGTGGAAGTAGAGAGAGGAATTAGAAAATGTCCATCGGAGGGGTGGGGGTAAGGAGAGGAATTAGAAAATGTCCATAGGAGGTGGTGGGGGTAGGGAGAGGAATTAGAAAATCTCCATAGGAGGTGGTTGGTTTAGAGAGAGGAATTAGAAAATGTCCATAGGAGGTGGTGGGGTAGAGAGAGGAATTAGAAAATGTCCATAGGAGGTGGTGGGGGTAGAGAGAGGAATTAGAAAATGTCCATAGGAGGTGGTGGGTGTAGGGAGAGGAATTAGCAAATGTCCATAGGAGGTGGTGGGAGTAGAGAGAGGAATTAGAAAATGTCCATAGGAGGTGGTGGGAGTAGAGAGAGGAATTAGAAAATGTCCATAGGAGGTGGTGGGTGTAGGAATTAGCAAATGTCCATAGGAGGTGGGGGGTAGAGAGAGAGGAATTAGAAAATGAAAATGTCCATAGGAGGTGGTGGGGGTAGGGAGAGGAATTAGAAAATGTCCATAGGAGGAGTGGGAGTAGAGAGAGGAATTTGAAAATGTCCATCGGAGGGGTGGGGGTAGGGAGAGGAATTAGAAAATGTCCATAGGAGGAGTGGAAGTAGAGAGAGGAATTAGAAAATGTCCATAGAAGGTGGTGAGGGAGAGGAATTACAAAATGTCCATAGAAGGTGGTGGGGGTAGAGAGAGGAATTAGCAAATGTCCATAGGAGGTGGTGGGAGTAGGGAGAGGAATTAGAAAATGTCCATAGGAGGTGGTGGGGGTAGGGAGAGGAATAGGGGTGGGGGTAGGGAAAGGAATTAGAAAATATCTGTAGGAGGTGGTGGGGAAAGGGAGAGGAATTAGAAAATGATCATAGGAGGTGGTGGGGGTAGGGAGAGGAATTAGAAAATGATCAAAGGAGGTGGTGGGGGTAGGGAGAGGAATTAGAAAATGTAGAAAATGTCCATAGGAGGTGGTGGGGGTAGGGAGAGGAATTAGAAAATGTAGGTAGGAGGGGTGGGGGTAAGGAGAGGAATTAGAAAATGATCATAGGAGGTGGTGGGGGTAGGGAGAGGAATTAGAAAATGTCCATAGGAGGGGTGGGGGTAGGGAGAGGAATTAGAAAATGTCCATAGGAGGGGTGGGGGTAGGGAGAGGAATTAGAAAATGATCAAAGGAGGGGTGGGGGTAGGGAGAGGAATTAGAAAATGTCCGTAGGAGGGGGTGGGGAGGGGAGGTAGAAAATGTCGAGGGGTGGGGGTAGGGAGAGGAATTAGAAAATGTCTGTAGGAGTGGTGGGGGTAGGGAGAGGAATTAGAAAATGTCCATAGGAGGGGTGGGGGTAGGGAGAGGAATTAGAAAATGATCAAAGGAGGCGTGGGGGTAGGGAGAGGAATTAGAAAATGTCCATAGGAGGGGGTGGGGAGGGGAGGAAAAAAATGTCCAACAACATCCATTTTATTCTATGTAGACCAGCTATTTTATAATTATCTGTAGACTTACACTTATACTTGTCAACACAGTGCATTTAGCATGAACCTATTGATTGAACTTGGAGGACACCTAGTACAGACTTCATGGCTTTTCTTTTTTGTGTACTTTTTCCTAGTCTTAAAATAATATCTACAGTAAGGCAGTTGATGGTAGGTCTGTTAAATGTTCATTTGTTAAAAAAATATTTAGAAGTCTAACTGACCTTTTGACCTTTGAAAAACTGTAGAAGTTCATTTTATTATTACATTTATAGTACATTGAAATTATCACAGAATATTTTGATTAAAGTAACATTAATTTAAAAAAAAAAGTAACATATTTGGGTTTTCCCATAACAAATAATGGACTTTGCCATAATATGGTTTTGTGAGCACAGTCTTTTGCCCCCCCCCCCTCCCTCCTTCACTTAAAGTGGGGATATTAATTTCGGTCTCCCCATCCGTCTGTCTTTCTGTCTGTCTGTAACAATTTCATTTCCACAAAATATTTCGAGAAGCCTATAAGCGTTTGCAATAAAATTTTACATAATAACCCCTTATGGCCTAAAGAAGACCACTATCGAATTTTTGGTCCAAGGTCATTAATTCTTGTCTTTTTTAACACTTGTTTTGTGCAATATTCCGAGAAGCCTTTAAGCTTTTATCAGTTAAATTATAAACCACAACTTCCTATGACCGATGACGACCCCTATTGATTTTGAGGTCAAAAGTCAAGGTCGTAAATTCATACATTCTATATGTGTGTAAAATTTTCATTTTCAGGCGATATCTCAAGGAGATTTGATATTTTGATTTTTTTTAAGTTTTAAAAGTTTTTTTTTTAACAGTGGCCCTGGCCGCCCTTCTTAACCCCCTCCCTCCTTCCGCATGCTCTTCTTTTTTTCTTAAACGGGGGACGCAGATTCTCTGATTTAGCTTGAATATTCATTTGATAAATGCTCCAGATTTTTAAAAGTATTTTTTATGAAAAATGAAGTAGTGACCTCTTTTGTACTCTGTCATGCTCCTCACTCCCGTCCCATATTATCCTGACAGATTATCAAAGCAGAAGAGTATTCTCAAATGATTTTATAAATCAGATATAGGTAGTACAAAAC